GGGCTGAAAGGGGAAGTTAAGCCTAAAATGAAATTTTCACCATTTGTAGTCTTCGGGGTGCTGAGTGGAATGGTCTTGGGCTGAGGAAGCTGAGACGCTCCCTTCCTTCTTTATTCCCAATCGAACTCGCGCACTTCCACCGAAACTGGGTGACTGCGCCCTACTAGATGGGGATTTGTATGCAAAATCTCACTAAAAGCGCCGTGTCGTTCGTATAAAAGCACGGATGACCGCGATTGGCCCATATGTTGTTGTCTTCTGGACGCTGAGTCGACTGGTTTTGGTCCGAAAAGGCTGCGATGTAGTGTGCGGCCCTTATTCCCAATCGAACATGGCTGGACAAGCGCTCACGTGCTCGTGCGTACACCAGTCACCTGGTCACCGTGCCTGCAGGCTACAACTTACAGCATGTTTGGGTGAGTTTCTGTCACTCGAGTTGAACCTTTGCACCTTTGAGTTGAACCTTGGTGTGAAATTTGTCGCCTGCTGGCTTGGTGACCAGGTGACTGGTGTACGCAGGAGCACGTGACCACTTGTTCAAACCCAACCATGTTCGATTGGGAATAAGGGCTGAACGCCACATCGCAGCCTTTTCGGACCAAAACCAGTTGACTTAGCGTCCAAAAGACTACAACATATGGGCCAATCGCGGTCATCCGTGCTTTTGAAAAAACGACTTTCTATTCTTATTTCCGATATTTCTTACATACTATAAATCAAGTGTGACATATCATAATTATGCATGTGCGCAGCTGAGGCAAGAAGATCATCGTACATGCAACGTAGTGCTACTGTGCATGCGGCTGGTCATAGTCCCATAGGCTTACCATGCGGCTATGCAACATGAGATACATGACCACAACAGTTGAACCTGCAACACAACGAGTCCGTCGCAACGCTAGTCGGATCAGAACTGCATTGGACTGATGTTATTAATACACGCGATACACATTTTGCGAATCTGGCATGTTTCACTACACAAAGTCCATTCTTAGCACCGATTTATTATACTATGCGATACAAGTTCTTGCAAGAACAAATGTGCTCTTGATACCCATGTTATGATTATAAAAACATGAGAGTTCATTCTTGTGGGCAGTATATTCCCTTACACGACCATGCCTAATCGATACGCACTGTATTACAGTCTATGCACAGTTGAGTCACCGTGTATACATTGGTATGCTGTGCTTGGTGATATTCTGGCCTGGTCGTTCTTCGGCGCTCTGTTCTTCGACAACCGACAGAACTGTAGTACTCGTAATTAAAATAATTTGTGCACGGTGCTTGCGACTGGAATCTGATATCAGATGAGCGGACTAGCGTCAGGCACTGTGCAGCCCCGGACCTGTACACAATGACCTAACATCTGTTGGGTGGAAGGAGGGGGAGGGGGGGGGGGGGGGGGGCACGGAGAAGCCCCCGAACATGCATATGCAAACACCGACATGCGTTCTATTAAAGTGAAATGACTTGTTCATGAGTTTACACGTTTAATCCTTGGCTCTCGATCCGAGTTAAACTTGTTCATGAAATCAGACTTTATTCATCTGCACTGAACCTGGGATTTACTTTTAAAAATAATTGTTGTCGGCTTACCGCATGTCTGCTGGTCGGGCATCAGCTCCTGTCCGCGTGGACACGAACAGATGGCACGTGAACGCACGGACGTGCAGCGTCCCTGGCAGCAGCCTCGCATCAGCGCACACGAGTCTACCGCCGGGCTTGGTCACTGCCAACTGAACGTATGGAATACCACACACACACACACACAAGCATGGTGATATGAAAGCAATGATTAGGAACTAGAGTGGACATCTCATTATGCGTAACGGGAGTTTGATTGGATACATGTGTTCACACGGACACAAGTACAAACACAAACTTACATTATGTCTCCACATTTCCACCCCAACAACACAGATAGGCAGATGCGGATGTTTAACATTTGAGCACACAGATTAGTGAGAGAGAGAGAGAGAGAGAGAGAGAGACAGAGAGAGAGAGAGAGAGAGAGAGAGAGAGAGAGAGAGAGAGAGAGAGAGAGAGAGAGAGAGAGAGAGAGAGAGAGAGAGAGAGAGAGAGAGAGAGAGAGAGAGAGAGAGAGAGAGAGAGAGAGAGAGTGAGAGAGAGAGAGAGAGAGAGAGAGAGAGAGAGAGAGAGAGAGAGAGAGAGAGAGAGAGAGAGAGAGAGAGAGAGAGAGAGAGAGAGAGAGAGAGAGAGAGAGAGAGAGAGAGAGAGAGAGAGAGAGAGAGAGAGAGAGAGAAGCACAGACTTCTGAAAGAGAGAGAGAGACAGCAATGAGAGAGAGAGAAAAAGAAGGAAAGACTGCACATATCAGCATGATTGAACAACTGACCTGGCAGTACTCTGCCTGAAATCCACGGTTGGTCAGTCTGGCGCCGCTGGATTTGAAGATCAGAGTGAGGGTATGTGATGACGAGACAAACTCGGGCGGCGCACTTGACGCGCAGAATCGATCACTCGTGCAGGAATCAGCTTTCAGGCCGTCACGGATAGTAATATAATCGGACTCGCAACTGTATGTGAACACACGAGCATGATAATATATGACCTAGACGCGTGCACATACCATGTACCATGTATACGCCCGTCGCAAGAGAAGCACGCAAATCTGCACATGCACTGGATATGCATCCACAGATTTTCTCTTTTACCAATGATACTGTAAAAGCCATAATTATAACGAAGTGCTAACTCTAACGAGTTAACGAGGAGAAATCTGTCGTTAAAATAGAAATCGTTATACAGAAATTGATACATATACTGTCCTATTGAGCGTTGCGAATGAGTAAGAATCGTTACCTTTGCTACACATAAACTAGTCAATTTTGGGAAATCGTTATATATGCGCCTCATTAGAATAATGGCTTTTACAGTAGTGAACAAGATCTGAATGACACAGATCAAGACTTGCGCCAGATAACTGTCTGATCCACACAACTGGCGAGGCCATGTGAATCGACCACCAATGCACACCTGGTCTACACCACACGGAGTACATCGGCATAAAACGGCCAAGACAGTTACCTGTACACACCCTACACTTGCTGGGGTAACCAGTATAGAGAGCACGCTGCTTCGATAGAAGCAGACACTAGATGCACTGGTACCTTGAAGTGAAATTGGAGTTACTTTACCAACCAGCCTCGGCTACTGAGTACTGGGAACCCAGAGCCAACAGACATACCAACAACCTCAGCCATGAAAGATATTATAGTAACGACACACTGGATTGTGGAGCCGAAACTAGTCCAACTTCCAAATGCTTCCACACCCACATACCCGCCCACCCACACACACGCACCCACACCCACACACACACACACACGTGCGCGCACGCACCCCCCCCCCCCCCCCCACACACACACGCACGCAATCGTGCGTGTGCGCACGAGCACACTTGTACTTGTAGCACACCCTCCATAACCTCCTACAGACGCATATCCCCCCCCCCCCCCACACACACACAAACCAGCAGCCACAGCAGCATCATCAGCAGGAAAAGCAGCAATTGCAGCAGCAGCACGAGAAGCTTCAGCAGCAGCATCAGCCTCCTCCTCCTCCTCCTCCTCATCATCATCATCATCATCATCATCATCATCATCATCATCATCATCATCATGATCAGCAGCAGCACCAGCAGCATCACCGTGAACATCAGCACATGCCGACACAAGACACATACTTTGCATGGTACTCCAAGGCGAATTGCCTGAAGGTCAACTTGACACGCTGGCTGTGACTCTCGGTGATGAAGTGATACGTACAAACTTGATCGTTGAGATAGGGCTGCGGATGATTAGGACTGGTCACAGCTCCGCCAGCATCACCGTTTGCCATGTACTTAACTTCACAGCATGTCGATTCTGAACAGAAGCAGTCACAAACAAGCAATGCGCAGAGACTTCAGGTCGGCTGAGGGCGAAAAGCCTCACCATCACTATGCTCCCAGGTGCATATTTTGTCTTAGCCTGTGAGCTGTGATCATTGTAAAAAAACAAAAAACAAAAACATCCAATCTCCACCTTAGTTGAACACACACCTTGGTACAGGTCTATAGTATTGAAAAAAAAACCCGAAAAGAAATGGAAGTTCTCTACTGGTTCAAGGATACACTCTTGGAAGGCGTTGCTGAGGTCGATCACAGCTCGACCCACACCAAGTTCCAGTGTGAGAGCAGCATGCCGAGTCCACAGCTTCGGTCACAGGCCCCCTGCCGTAACCGGCCAGGTTGGTTAGGGCACTGTAAAACATGTAATTTTAGGTGCATTACTATTTCGGTGCCAGGGACCTGCCAGGTTTCAGGTGTAATGTAGAATTAGGCGACCAGCTTTCCCTTCACATACAGTGCGTCCGCTAGTGCCTTTCTGGTGTAATTTAAAGTTAGGTGCCCGTTTTCTCTACCGAATCACCGAAATTAAAGTTACACCGAAAATAACATGTTTTTCAGTATTACCGGACCAACCTTTGTTCCACCAGCACATGGTTTCTACTGCGGAGGGGGCTGTTTTACCCGCCATACCACACACAATGTACTGTAAATATACAAAATTCCGGCGCTGCAAAATTTCGGCACTTCACGATTTTTGACATTTCGGCGGCGATTTATTTTCGGCGTGGGGTAGAGGGCATAGTATAGTACGACAAATGCTGTGAAAAATTTCATCGGCGTTTTAATTTAGGCGTTTTGGGTCGGTGCCGAATAAAGCCGAAATTAAATAGCTGCCGAAAATTTGTATATATACAGTATGCAAGGCCGTGATACTACCAAACCAATCAAGAAACTGCTTACGGCTGTCATGCGGTCATGCAGAATGGCTTGGGTTAGAGGTGAAAATGAAATACCACATGCAGGTGTACCGTTGTTCAAAACAGATGTTTCACAATAGCATTGGCGCCAGGAAGGAAGCAGTAGACCGAAAACCTCCATACAAAGATGTTCTTGGCATGTTGTACTGCTGTTTTATATGCAGCCAATAGTCTTGTTGCATACTCCAATTGTGACCCGCGCTACAATTAGAGACTGTGCTCTTATTATTTCAAACCACCCTCACCCCGGTCACTATTGGAGACTGGGCTATTATTGGAGACCTGGGCTTTTATTAGAGAAAATACGGTAATCCTTGTTATAAGACAAACCATTTTGAACCCCCAGGGGGTTCTCTACACACCAGTGTAGATCTGTACAAGAAGCACTCACTGCAGAAGAAGAATCGGAACGCGAAGCCACTGTGACCAATGGACGAGTCGGTCTTGAACACCAGCGTCACCCGTCCGCCACTCGACATCACCGGCTGCGGTAGTTCACGGCCGCACAGGTTGGAGATCCGACGATCCTGCGTGCTCCCACCATCGTATATCTGAATGAACAATGGCCAACATCGGCAGGAGGGCCAGAGAAAATACTCGTATCTTTTGGCCATGCCATCCATACACGCAAGTGAGGCACCCGATCTTGCTCGTTTGTATACAGACTTTGACTCTTGCAACATTCGCAGGCGGGCCAGAGGAATTACTCATGTTTTTCGGCCATAACGGTGAATGATCCAAATCTTCCCAGGCAAGGCACTTATGCCTAATGACAAATTGAGAGAAACCGCATTCGTACCACTTCCATAGTGCCTAGGGCCATGCGAGCCCACCACTCCGTCAAATATGCACTTTGGGTCGGATACCCTCAAGCACATCTGTACATAAGGCATATCTTAGCAGATTCTGTAAAAAACCGGAAAGTTTAACAACCAAAAAGTATAACGCTTTGAAGTGTTGGCATGGTAATGTGCAGAAAGTTTAACGGTGGCTACCCGGCCACCCATCTGTATGCGCATCTTTACAAAGACAACTCAAACCGAGTTTGCGATAATGTTTCTTCAAATAATGAAGAAAAAGAAGGTCGTTAAAGTGTTGGACTTTGTGACTTGTTAGACTTTTCGGTTTAACAGTAGCCTGGTTATAGTGAAACCTGTCTAAGACGACCGCTCAAGGGACCTTCAAAATGTTGTCTCTGATACCAGGTGGTCTCCTTATCCAGGGTCAATTAACTGGAAATAGCATCCCTTGGTCCTGGTTCGTGAGATCTCTCTTTAACAGGTGGTCGCCGTATCCGAGTGGTCGCCTTGACAGGTTTTACCAAGAGTAGATAAACAAGAATGTGCAACTCGCGGATGGGTTGGCCCACAGCGGAATTTTTTTGTTGACGTAATCTTTTCGACGACGCACGCGCTGCGAGTCTTTTGGCAAGTTTTAACTCGTGCTCTTGGCCGGGCTTTAGACTACAAGGTGGGTGCCCAGCATGTGCCCTCACACTGCTCTGCGGCAAAATGCGCGTTTCTCTGAAAAAGGTGACGTCAACAAAAAATTCCGCCGTGGGCGGGGGTATCTGCAGATTGTGCAGGAGAGATCCGGAGTTGCACACTCTTGTTTATCTACTCTTGCTACTACTGTATACAGTTTTCTATCACAGCATCACACTATCCACTTTACCTGCAGGACATCATACTCGCAAAACTCTGCTACCTCCACGTTGAAGTGCTCAAAGACAATAAACACACGCCGATTGACTGGGGCCTGTAGTGGCATGCACGATAATCGCCGATGTCAGGCGCACATGCATGCATGTGGGCACACGCACACACATGCACAAGTACACGCACATACATAATTATACAAACACAATATTACATACACACAAATGCAAACACACAAACACACTTGCACACACACACACACACACACACACCTTGATCATTAATACACATTGCCTTGATAGGTTACACGATCCCCGTCAGGGGAGAGCGGTGGAAGAGGCTGAGGAGCAGCACTTCTGATGGCGCACTAGATGGTGACGGAGTTGGAACTTCCTATATGGCATGGGTACTCAAATGGGAAGTCGGCCCTTTCTGACACCGTTCTACGTTTCGTGCCGTCGCACTTGTGCCTGCCCAAGCCGCTGGACTTGAAACTGCGGTGACAGTTGCGGCATTGCAGAGTGACCGGGTTGCCGAGGTGCTCGGTGTGGGGAGCAGGTCGGTGATCGCACCGATGGGTAGCCAATCCACCGGGACTGCGGAACCAACGTTGGCAGAGACGACACTGGCAAGGGCCAGTCTGGTTACACACCGGTTTGGGGCAGTCCGCCAAGCATTTCTGATGCTTCTCATCTGATGGGAGAGGGAAGTACCGATCACATACTTGGCAGTGGACAGTGGGTGGGGGCGGCTCATGGACAGTGGGCGGAGGCGCCCCCGTCTCAAAAGCTTCGACCTAGGTTTCGAAAAATAAACAACGCCAGGCATGCTGCACTCACCTGCAGCCTGCATCCTGCAATGCATGTCCGGGGAGGGGGGGGGGGGGGCGCACGGCCGGAAACGAGCGTCCGAAAGCGGTTGCATGGTGCTTGAGCGGCCTGGTTGACTGTACACACTACAGACAGAAGGACTAGTTGCTACTGCTAGTATGGACGGCCAGTCACTGTGC